GATGATGGGGGGGAGGGGGGACGGGGAGGAAGGGTCTGGTGAGCCGGACACCCGGGGTCAGGCCGAGGCCGTAGGCCCCAGGAGCCTGTCTTTCAGTGGACAAAAGTCGGGGCAGGTAGCAACTGAGCGGGTAGGATCTGGTGGAAGCCAGGAGACCACAGAGGGGACCTGAGAGATCTGCCTTCTGTGGAGATCTGGGAAGACTTCCTGGAGGAGGCCGACTGTCTCTAAGGAGCTTCAGGGCTGGTCGAGTGTAGAGAGGGAGGGCGGGGCCGTCTGATGAGGTCCTGAAGGAGAGAACTCAGGCAGTGGCCAGGGCCCGAGTGTCATCCTTGCTGCCTTTGAGTCTCTCCCTGGTGCGAGTGGGTACTCCTGAGGGTTGGGGCCAGGTCTGAGTCACTTGTGTCTGTAGTGCCTAGACTGGCTTGGTTCATCGTGGACTCGGGTGTGGAAAAACTTCCAGGACTCCAGGGGCATCTGCCCGGAACCTTGAAGCGTGAGTAAGGTTTCGGTGGACAGAGAGGTGAGAGGTAGCATTCCAGGCAGAAGGGACAATGGGTGCCAAGGCCTGGAGTGGGGCACGCAGTGAGCCTTGAAGCTGGAGCCTGGGTGCCTTGCGGGGAGCATGCCCAGGAGAGAGTGAACTTTCCCTGCAAACGAAGTACAGCGTGCCTGTCACATCCCAGGAGATGTGGCCTGTGACACCTGGCCTGGTGGGAGCCCGCAGTTGGGCTCAGAGGCCAGGAGAACAGAGAGGGAGGGGGGCAGGTGTGGCCTGAACCTGGCTTGAGCCTCTGCCCAGATGCTGGGTGATGTGGGACATGTGACGTCACCTCTCTCCAGCTCCTCTCCTCATCTGTAAATCTGGGCATCTGACCCAGGCTTGCTGGGGGCCTGGGGGCCAGGGGAGATATAAAGCAAGATATAAGCTCTAGGCCTCTGCCCACAGTGAGGGTTTCCGGTCACCACCTGGGGTCAGCCGGGGGTCTCCCAGCTCCTTGGTTCTCCTCTGCTGACCTTCCTTGTTTCAGATTAGAGGCTGCTGGGAAAGCAGGGGCAAGAGGCACCTGGCACAGGGCTGGGCCCTCAGTGGGGACCCAAGTTCTCTGCTCTTCCATTCACTCCGCCCTCCACCGCATCTATGGCACCCCCAGGACAGTCAGAGGCAGAGACAGCCGGTTCCACTTAGGAGGAGACAGTCCAGGCCACACAGCTGACTGGGGCATAGCCAGGATTCTGAGCCCTTTCCTTATGTCTCCCTTCCAGGCAGCTGCGGGCACGGGTGGGTGTGCATGGGTGGCTAGATGGCCGTAGAATAGTCCATGGCCCTGAGTGTCCCTCCTGCTCCATCCCTCACTCTCTCCCCTTTCTCTGCAGGATGGTCGAGTACTCTCTGGACCTCCAGAACATCAACCTGTCGGCCATCCGCACCGTGCGTGTCCTGAGGCCCCTCAAAGCCATCAACCGTGTGCCCAGTGAGTTGGTCTCCTCTCCCCGCTCCCCATCAGCCACTCCTGCACTAAGAAAAGACTCACCCGCACCTTCCGGTGCCTGTGCTGGGTACAGGGGTCCTTCAGCGACTGGACAGATGTGGGTCCTCCTCCCACCAGGCTCATGGGCCAGTATTTGGGCCTGAAGATGCTGGAGAGCGGTCCTGACACCTCTGAGGCCCAAAAGAACTCAGATGGCAGCATTCTGGGGAGTCTGGCTTTTTAGGGACAAGGTTCCTCGTGGGGGGGGGGTGGCTATCAAGGTGGACACGTGTGAAAAGAAGCTGCTTAGTTTGAGAGTATCGGGCAGCATTTCAGTGAGGAGGGGATCCCAGCTCGTGCTGATTTAGAACTCAAGCTCCATCACCCCCCACCACGTGTCTGCCGACCCACGCGAGGACCCAGCCCTCCGTCCATCTGTCCGCCTGCCTAGTGCCGGAAGGTTATGTTATAACAACAAGCCCCGACATCTGCCCAGATTCATAGTTTTCAAAGCTTTTCATCTCCATGATTTCTCTTGAGCCTTATAATCTCTCTGTGAGGGAGGCGGGCCATTCACAGGAAAACAGAGATAAAGAGACCAAGACTTGGAGACACGAGGTAACTTGCTCAAGAGGCCTCCTGACTCCCTGAACTGCGTTCTTTCCGCTACCCTGAGTTAGGAATAGGATGGGGGATGGGGAAGGAGAGGGGGAGGGGAGTACCTGGCCTGCATGGGGTTTCAGCCGTCAGGGAAGGACAGGGACTTTTATGAGACCTGCCTACCTCCTGTGTGGTATTTGACATACGGATGCCTAACTCAGAGCCTCTCAACTCGCCGTGTAAGGCTCAGAGCGGCTTGCATGGTGTCACCGCAATTCAGTGGCAGGACAGGGTTCTGCATGGAGTTCTGTCTGTCCTGAGCCCAACTCTTTCCTTGGTTCTATCCGAACGCTTGCTTCTCTTCCTTGTCTGAGCCTCAGTTTCCCCATCTGCAGAAGAGGGGAGGGCCCCTAGCACAGTCAGAGTCATCCTTACTCCCCCAATTCCTCCTCCACAGTCAGAGTCATCCTTACTCCCCCAATTCTCAACCCTGGGGCCTTGGGGCTTTGTCACCTGCCCTATCCAGCCAACCTCTCCCCAGACAGGCTCGGACTGGCCTGATTGTCGGCAGGCCTGGTAGCGCAGGGGAGGCCATGCTCCAGGGTATTTGTGGAGCAAGGTGGCCAGGAGGGTGGCCAGACTATGGCTTCGTTCTGAGACGGGCAGGCCGGCTCCGGTTGGGCAAAGTCCGAAAGGGGCCTGGGGGCTCTTGGCGTCTCAAGGTCGCACATACAGGGTCATCTCCCCACACATATGTTGACCTGCTGGGAAATCCCAGGGGGCCCTGAGGGCTACCACAAAGGTCCTGAGGGAGGGGTTGGGAGGCAGGGGTGGGGGTAGGGGTGAGTGATGAGAACCAAAGCTATCGGCGACGGGGGAGGAGCGGTTCAGTGGTACCACATTGGTCGCTTCCCCCTGCCCTGGGAGACTCTTGGGGGTAGGGGAGGGACATCCAGCGAGGTCATCCTAGGCGCCAGCTTCTCTCAACCCCTTCCACCCCCACCAATCCTGCGAGGCTCCTAGTTCAAAACCATCTTTAGCCCATTTAGCAGATGAGGAAAATGAGGTCCAGAGAGGGCCGTGACCAGTCCAAGGTCACACGGCAGGGAACTTGGAGCCCGAGTTTCTAACGGGCACACCTTCTGCAGTGTGTGTTCCTCTCCCTCATGTCCCACCCCCTTCTCCGAGGAAGCTGGCCGCAAGGCGGACTTCATTCACAGGGCGCCCGCAGCAACGCCTGGTATGTTCGAGTCGCTCGGTAGATATGTATGAAGTGGACGCACTGGGCGAGGGTGGGATCTGACGGCCCCGGAACAGCGATGTGACGGGACATTTGAGAAGAGAAGGTTTACGAGAGGAGGGGACAGGATGCGGGTCTCCAAGGGGGAGTTTCTGTACATCCGGGTGTGCGTGCACGTGGGTATGAGGGTCTCTGTGACCACAGGCGACCACGTGTGTGCACGTGTGTGTGCGCACGTGAGGTGGGTGGCGCCTGTGTCTCTCCCTGGGCCCTCCTCCTCCCTCTCTCACTGCCCCGAGTGAGGAGCTCATTAGGCGGCTCCTGGCTGTGGAGGTCACTTCCAGGTCCCCAGCACCAGCCTGCCTGGTTCTCTGGAGAAGGACGGTGATGGGCCCCTTGCTCCTGGAGACTTGCTCCCAGTTTTGGAGGCTGCGTGGCCTGGAGCACCCAGAGAGGAGTTCGGCCTCTTCCTGTGGGGCCTCCTGCCTGCTAACAGGCGAGACTGGGAGGCCCGGGCCCCGTCGATGGGGAATGTGTTTCCTGCTCAGAGCTGACTGCGCCTTGCAGCTGGCAAAGAATGGCTCAGACCCCGGTGTGGGGGAGCGTTGGGGGCACAGACCCTCCGGGATCCAAACCATACTCGATGCGTCTGTCCCCTCCCCCCACTTAGAAACCACCCTGCGCTCCCCTGGGAAAGAGACCTTAAGATGAATTCACACTGATGAGGAATTTAATTAACAGGAGCCTCAGGCTGTTAGAGCGGGGTTGGGTGGTTCATCCCTTCCTTTACAGGAGGGACAGCTTTGCCCTCTGCCCCGAGTCGCCAGTGAACGGGTGGCATGGGGAGGGTGGCACAGGTTCTTACAAGTGCCTTCTAGAGAGATTCGGTTGCTTGCCTCCTTTTTCTCTAGATGTTGCCCTGAAACATTCCAAGTCCTCCTGTTTGTCTTTAGAGTTTTTTCGGCCCCCGGGGGCGCCCTCTTTTCAACCATGGCCTGTGGCTTTCAGCTTGGCCACTAGGTGGCAGCCTAGGGAGTTGGCGCTAGTGAAATTATGGGCTATTAATTGCAAAACCGTGGAGAGCCGGGTGGCTACTTGCAATTTAAAAAGGACCGCAATGGCTGCAAAAGCCTCCGCATGATCCGCCAGGAGGACTTAGTTGGGTTGTCAGGGAATGCAGGTGCTGGTTGTTGGCTCTGCCGGGAGTCTGCTGTGTGACCTGGGAAGTCCCCCCCCCCCCCCCCCCCCCCCCGTGTCTCTGGACCTCAGTTTCTCTACTCTTGCACAAAGCAAGAGGAGGGACTGGATTAATGTGTAGTTCTTGACTTTGCCCAGGACGGATGGGGCACCTGGGAGTCATGGTGCTCTTTACAAACCTTGTGAAATAGGTCCCTCCACCTGGCCCCACAGGTCTGGGTCCAGGCCGCTGCTCTGCCTTTGATGGCTAAAGGGAAGCGGGGCATGGAGGAGAAGGTTGGGGAGGGAGGGAAGGAGAGAGAAAAGCACCAGATTGCGAGTCAGGAGGCTGGGTTCTGGTTCCTTGCTGTGGCTTTCATAAATCACTATCCTTTTCTGGGCCTTGGCAAGATGGGGCTGGATCATCTCTAAAAGTGCGCCATCCGGGCAATCAGGCAACTCCAGGCCTCACTCCGGGCCTCACTCCTCACTCGGCCTGCACACCCCTTAGGCCTGCACACCCCTTAAGCATGTTGTGGTGCCTCCCAAAGCCCATTGGCCACGCCATGCCATTTAAATATGAAAAGTGCCTTTTTTTCTCCAGTAAGAAACCAGCCTAGTCACTGCTAGGCCCTGAGCCCACTGAGTCTGAGTTGCTGGCCCACATCTAGAGTCGACCAGCCTGTGCTGTGGAGAGGGGTGCGAGGGAGGCCGGGAGGCTTGTGGGCAGCTGCTGGGGACACTGAGCTTGGCCTGGGCCACGGCCCACCCTCAGAGCTCACCCAGCTCACAGTCCCAGGTTCAGCAATAACCCACCCCTGTGCAGGGGCCTCTGGGCTGGGCCTGGGGTGGCGGTGATGCAGAGAGGCAGGAAATGTGCTCCCAGGGCAGGGCCCACAGACAGGGAGGCAAGGCCGGCAGAGCTATGGGGGGGAGGCCACCGACAGGTCCCAGCTGGGGGACCAGGAGCTGAAGCTCTGCTCCACACGTGCAGGCCCAGGTTCTAGCCCCAGGCCTTCCACTTGCCCATTGTGGGGCCTTGGGCCCCCATGCTCCTCTCCAGGCCTCCATTTTCCAACAGTAAGATGGGGTTAATAATACCAATTTCTATACGGTTTTGTAAGAATGAAATGCCATCATGTGTGTAAAGAGCTTAGCATAGAACTTTGGGTGCAGTAAGTGGTCAGTAGGCGTTACTCTTGTGAGAAGGTACTAGAACACTGAGGACAGGGCGGGGGCATCAGGGCATCTTTGTGGAGGCTGATTTGGGGAGATGATCACCAAGCACACAGAGGGTTGGAGAGGGCATTTTTGGCAGACCGACCTGCACGTGCAGAAGGTGGAAATGTTGGGTGGGCAGGGGGCCGCGTGTCAGGGGAAGGCGGGAGGGGAGCTTTCCACATCTTCTAGGGATTTACTAATAATGATAAATGGCTGAAACGGGCAAGTTCGCCACGGTGCTTTGCCTGGCTGTATCATCTTGTTTCGTAACAGCTCTTTCGTAATGTTGGTGCCATTACGATGCCCACTTACAGATGTGGAAACCGAGGCAGAGAGTGATTGAGTAAAGTGCCCAAGGCCACATAGCGGTGGGGGAAGGGGGGGTCTGAGGTCGGACTTGAACCTGTGTTCTCACGACCCCAGAGCTTTTGGCTCCTTTTTACAGCCTTCTCCTCCCTGTGACTTGTAGCATCCCAGACAGCCACACCATCTGCAGGGCATCAGGAAAGTCCCTGCCCACATCCGGGGTCAAAGCAGAAGTGATGCCCTCGGGGCCCTTTCTGAACACCTTCCACTGTCAAGAGCACAGAGCTCTTGTGGCACTGGGCTCTGTGCGACCTGATGGGGACAAGTCTAGGCAGGAGGCAGGGGTGCAGAGCGGTTCATACAGAACATTCCTGCCAGTCTTCAAAGCTTGGTCCTGCATTAATTAGCTTCGGGACCTGGGGAAAGGTTCCTCTCTTGCTCCGGTCCCCTGTCTGCACAA